CTCCAGGGGTGGGGAGCAGATGTCAAATATCCCACGGCCACAGTTGGACGAAGAGCAGGCTGGAGATCTCCCCCGGGGCCAAAGTTCATGGTTGGAAGCGCATCACTAAAACCAAACAAGCAGCGTCTCACTGGGAGCTTGCTGTGCACAAACCGGTCGTTTTTACAACAGTGGCATTGTTTAAGAAAAGGATGTGAAGACCGTTCGCGATCTGTTGTTGCGGCGGAGAGCAAAATTGTTCATTGTTTTTAAAAATTGTGCATTAATTGAATTTGTAATTGTCTCTTTTTAATTGTTTAAGAAATTTGGGTCCGGCCCTGAGCAAGACCGTCTCTCAGCTGTACTGCACAGAGGGGCCTCTGTGCTGAGTGTTCGCGCTCTCCCAGCTAAGAGTGACTGAATCAAGAGGCCTGAGGCTGTATCACTGGAAACATCTCGCCGTGCGTCACATTTGGATCTTTTGATTTTTGTTTCTTTTTTCGGAGGGCAGGCGACTGGGGGAGAGGTGTTGTTCCCATAATCGCGTTGCTGACTGCCACCACAGTACTCAGTTCCGCCAACAAACGCACCCATTCCCTCCTGCCAAGGGTACACCAGGGAGCACGCATCTCCCTGAGCAACGGGCGGCCGTTCTGTTTTAAAACTCACGCGAGTGACCCGTGATTGTCTTACTTCTAATGAGAAAAGCACAAGTGTGATCTGCTCCTCAGTCTGCGCTTACCCGTCCCCAGTTTTTGCAGGGAAGGGGCTGTGTTTTTTTTTTACAAAATCATGAAGCTGTACATCATGAGTAAAGTCTTCGTTTTTGCATTCTGGCCGCTGACCAGATTTTAATCTAAACAAACAAAAGGATTTTTTTTAAGAATTTCTCCAGGCCACAAGCCATCAATAAACTCCTTCATCCTGATCTAAGTCGTTTCCAAATGTTGTTAGCATAAGCACTGCCATTTCCTTCTGAAATCAATGCATGATTTGATTTGAGCTTTTAATGTTTTAAAAATATCAATGTTTGGGAACATGAAGAGGCCATTCAGCCTCTTGAGCCTGTTTTACTGTTCAAGGGTGCTCAAATATATTAAATTCTTTATCCCAGCTTGTTTCCGTAGTGTCAACATCTAATGTGGATAATTAACCGCTCAGCTGCCCAAAATCCTGGATGGTGTTTAAAAGAGACAGGAACTTGAAACTTTTTGTTGGCAATCATCAGGACCACAATGCAAGAAAACCAATTTTAGAAAGGGAATAACAAAATCCACAGTGCCATCGGTTCGACTCTGGTTGCCGTGGAGATCCAGCAGGAGCTGTTAACGGCCAATCGAAATTAAGCGGTCAGTTTCAGGTGTGACTGTGATTGGTCAGGGTGTTGCCATGAAAGTAAAAAAAATTCAACTTCCTGTCTCTCTTGTGCACCATCAGACATAATGTTATCATTTTATTGAGAGTTCCGATGAATCCCTAGCTCTGGAGCGTCTGCCCAATTTGTGATAACGGTGGGGGGGGATTGTAACAGTTGCCAAGCTGTCTGAATGTGAATGCCCCCACCCCAAGAGAAATGTATTTTTGTCAAAACGGTGGAATGTAATGTCGAGGGAAGGGAGTCAGCCCCCGTCCTCTGTGTGTGTTTCCCACCAGTTCCACCATCATGTTCCTTAAAACCCATAACCAACAGAAAAGGACACATCCTCCTCAAACCAGGACAGCCTGGTATGGGGATGTGTTCCCTACCTCCCTACTCCCAACCTCTCCCTCAACGGAATAATGGCAAATCTGTAATTGAATACTTTGTGAAATATTTATACAGTTAATATTGTGTGTTTGTATATCTTTCTGTTTGTGTTTCTGTCTGTATCTGTCTGTATTTCTGTCCCTCTCTCTCTGTCTCTATCTATCCATCTGTATTTCTGTCTCTGCCTTTTCTCCCTCTCTGTCTGTATTTCCGTCCCTCTCTATGTCTGTCTCTATCTATCTATCTATCTATCTGTATTTATGTTCATCTCTATCTCCCTCCCTCCCTCTGTCTCTATCTGTCACTATCAATCTCCCTCTCTCACTGTCTGTCTGCCTGCCTCTATCTATCCATCGGTATTTCTGTCCCTCTCTATCTCCTTTATCTCTGTTTGTATGTCTCTATCTGTCTCTCTGTATCTATCTGTCTCCCTCTTTCCCTGTCTGTCTGTGTTTCTGTCTCTAACTCGTCCTCTCTCTCTCTGTCTGTCTGTCTGTCTCTCTATCTATCTACAGATCTTTCTCTCTGTCTGTCTCTCTATCTATCTATCTATCTCGCGCTGTCTCTCTCTGGGGGTGGTGTGTCAGAGGCAGGGGGATGGGGAGAACACATTGGCCATCGTCCATCATGTTCACTACTCCCCCTCAACCTGCAGTGTGCTGGAGATGGGTCAGCTCTCTCTGTCTGGCTGCCCCCCACCCCCACCTCAGAGACATGGCCCCTCCCGTGTGTTCGTACAACTTGTGACTAGTCCTGTGTGTTGCACGTTTTTTGATTTTTTTAATTTGTGAATTGTTAAGAGTTTGTGCGTGTAGAGCGCTGTATGTGAGGTTTTTAGCAGTAACCGTGTAAAACTGTGTAGCCCAATCACGGGAGATGCCACTGCGGGATGGAGGGTTGGTGGGTAAGCTGAGGTTTCACTCACTCACTCACTCACTCCCTCCGTCCCCGTGGCTCGTTAATTGTTCAACTCGTGTTAGTATCGAGATGTGACTGCCTAAAACAAATCCCCCAGGATTGTGGGGCAAGGTGCTATGGAAACGGTGTGTTTTTTTTAAAAAAAAGTTTGAATAAAGGTAAAAACATAAATGGAAAGCAGAGTCTGGTGTTTCTCTTCAAAACTGGGCCATTTCTTTTACATGTGTTTCCAAAGTCAGCATGGTGACCCAGCGACACTGAAGGAACGGTGATATATTTCCAAGTCGGGACGGCGAGTGGCTCAGAGGGGAATGTGCAGAGGGTGCTGTTCCCATGTATCTGCTGCCCCTTGTCCTTCTGGATGGAAGTGGGTCGTGGGTTTGGAAGGTGCTGTCTGAGGATCTTCGGTGAATTTCTGCAGCGCATCTTGTAGATGGTACACACTGCTGCGACTGAGCGTCGGTGGGTGGAGGGAGTGGGAAGTTTGTGGATGTGGTGCCAATTGAGCGGGGGCTGCTTTATCCTGGATGGTGTCGAGCTTCTTGAGGGTTTGTTTTTATTTATTCAATTGTGGGATATGGGCATCGCTGGATGGGCCCGGCATTTATTGCCCTGTCCCTAGTTGCCCTCTTGAGAAGGTGGGGGGTGAGCTCCCATCTTGAATCGCTGCAGTCCACCTGCTGTGGGTTGAGCCACAAATGCCCCCAAGGGAGGGAATTCCAGGATTTTGACCCAGCGACAGCGAAGGAACAGCAATCTATTTCCAAGTCGGGACGGTGAGTGGCTCGGAGGGGAATGTGAAGGTGGAACTCGAGCGTTGTTTGAGCTGCCCACGTCCAAGGACGAGTGGGGAATATCCCATCACACTCCTGACTTGTGCCTCTTAGATGGTGGGGACGGGCCTTGGTCTAGAGCAGTTGGGTTCTATCAGCACAGCCTGGTCAAAGCCTGGCAGAGAGATGGCTGTGTGCCAGCTTGAGTAGAGTAGGAGGGTGTGTGTACAGAGAACAGGGGCAAATGTTTATGCCCTCAAGAGGGTGATCATTGACTTTGGCAGGGAGGGTGGTGGGGGGGGGGTTCCCCCGGCCAACGTGCGGGGGGGGGGGGGGGTGGGAATTGGAAACAATTCTGAGTCTTTCCAGAACATTTCACCAGAGAGCGGGTTTATTTTTTTTCTGTTATGTCCGGTATCACAGGGCCTCGCGACAAACACGTCACCCCTTAAAATGCCCCCTGGGGGGCACGTTCCCGCCGCCGCGAAGGAAGTGGGTAGTGCTAACTCTGCCAAGTCGCCCACCGAAGAACAAGAAGAGACGGAGGCTTTAAACATAAGGTACGTCTGTTTGCAAAAACCGCTTTCAACGCCGTGTTTTGGGTCTGCGTTAAGACGAGAGAGGATTCCTTGGACGGCAAGGCGGGGGCAGGGGGTGCCGGAGCGGTCAGGGTAGCCCACCTAGAAAGGGTAGGCGCCCACGTAAATGGTCAGCCTGAGGACGGAGCTTGACTGGTAAGTCATGACAGGGTTCACAGTCACCATTTCCAAATCCACCACAAAATCCTGGGGGCCTGTCATTTGCCGGGCCAGCACCAGCATCGCACTGATGTTGTTCATTTGCTGTCGAGATTTCAAAAACAGAGGGAGTGTTAGCAGGGTTGGGGTGAGGCCATTCAGCCCGTCGGGTCAATTCCTATCCGTTCCTCTTGCCTCCCGGCTGGCTATGTATCCAGCTCTGTGAACCTGCCTTGCTCCCCCAAAGTCTCACGAGACCCCGTCCTGGCACTAACCTTTGGACTTGGTCAGCTGATAACTGTCACGTTGCTCTCCACTGCTGCCAGCCGCCTGTCCGGAGACATTCCCGGTGCCCATCCCTACCCCCCGCAACCGAGTCGCCAACTCTATCCTCGAAGTTGCTGCTGCCTGTGAGCCGGTGGGAACAAGTCCCCAGTGCCGAGGGAGCGGGCACTGTCGGAGGGTCAGTGC